AAATTAACTTTAAGATTCCAAAAGCGAAAGACCCCTTGATCTTCTTCCCGTAAGAGGAAACCATGTTTTCTCGATTAAATAACAACGCAGACACCGTATGTCCGTCGAATATGGCCGTGACTGGAAATCTTAAAGACATTCGTATACCTAGTTTTCCATCCATATAAAAATCAATCGGGGGGAATTTGAAGTATAATTTAAAATATGTGCCAGCCCGATGGATTAACGAACGATGGTATGAAACTGGGCCAAACCAAAATATCGATCGGAAAACGATCCCATTAAGATTGGAAAATTCATATAATCAAACATAATTTATTAACTTTCATCACTTTCCATACTTGTTTGTAATGCACATAGCATAATGTTTCAGATGCATTATATTGACACAGGATCGCTAAGGATAAACGAAAAAGCTTACTATATTATTAAATGAGCACATGCTATCAGTTATGAGGATGACTCATAAATTACTCGTAAATCATTATAATTAATGTTCTAATGAATGATTCCGATTGTAGTTTTGTATGCATTAAGACAACTATTAATTTAAATGTAAAAAGCGACGGTTTGCTTTTTCAACTGGTGGAAATTGTTGGGTAGTGTCCATAATTTGAGTTCGGAGTCGGGTTACGTTGATGCTTCGTTCCACTATTCTATCTTAAGATTTTGTGTTTTCACTTTTGGGCGAATCGGTAGATTCCTACAAAGTTTTCTATTGTTCATTTTATACTTTGTTATACATTCTTACTGTTTAAAAAGTAAGATGAGGAAAGGGACCGATTTGAACTCCTTAGTACATTATGGCGACTTAACAAAACCGTTTTCCTTTAACACAATCGTTTCTTCAGGTAGTATAAAGCCATATAAATGTTTATGGAGATTTCTGAGAGATAGCGGGTTGAAAGTTTAGGACGCCCAGATGATTGTTGTGGGTCGCCGTGGCGACTGGGGCCGGTGCCCCGTTGGGGGTTGGTTCAGGTTGGACACAAACGTCAGTTAACATTCCCCTGGACCGGGGGATGTGGACTTTTCCATTTTTTTTTAATGTAATGGTTTTTAAGGTTACGAAAAGGTCACTGAATGAAAGTAAGGCTTAAGTCAGGATTTCGAGGATTTCCTTCTTCTCCCGTTGCAAACTGGACCTGTCGGGCTTGGGTCTCTGTGTTCCAAAGCGTCCCGCTGACTTTCGCCGGTTATCAGTAATAGATAAGGCCATTTAAAAAAAAAAACTCCTTCTCTGTGTTGAATTTGTTTCCCAAATCTTCATTGGTGAGTTCTTGCGGATGAGTGAAAGCGCGGAGGATGAGATTGTACTGTTTATAAATTTTATATATTTAGTGACCGGGAGATTTTTTGATGGCCCTAAGAATGACCGGTGTTGTTTTGAAGCGTTGAGACCATGGATAAGGCCGTGAGCGTCTGAGTGCCGTTTGTAGTGGTCCGTGACCGAGAAATCCGTTGGGTGAGGTGAGCGGTTGATAGGACTTTTGTGCAGCAGGTAGCTGATTGCAGCAGCTGGCCAATAGCCAAGTCGGCTTTGTTGAGAAGGCGAGTTGGAAGCTAATGATGCGAGTATCCTGGCTGTCATTGTCGGTACTCCATTAGTGATTGTTGAGAACACGTCGGGGATAAGAGTCTCGCGGTCTGAAGTGATAACTCGTCTGGGAGACGAGTCTGACAGCATGGGTGGAGAGCTCGTCGCGTAGACGAGACTGAAGACTGTGGGTAGTCCCTCGGCTTATATACGAAATGGCTGTACTCTGATTGTCTGCCGAATAGAGGGCGAGACCATTCTAGAACTGGTGGAGACACCTAGCGGGTACCGTGGTAACTGCACGTGGCCACCACATATACCTCTCAATTTTTAAAACACAAAATTCCAGAAAATACAAATAGTCATATTATACAATATATGGGGTTAAAAGGTGTTGTAAGTATTATTTTGTGTGGCTATCATTATTACCTTTAAGGATACGCCCCATGTCACTTAGCTGTTCTGGGTTTGAACCCTTTGGCCTATGGTGTTTTTGCTCTATTTCAATTAATTATGATGTGTTTTAGTGATAGCATTTTGACTCATTGGAAACCCTCAGTACTAGAAAATAAGGGTAATTTTAGACCGTCTCTATATGATTTTCTGGAAATCGAGGAACAATGCAATAGGGTTGTTCAGTTAACCTTAGTTTCAAGAAGTTCGGCATTAATATCTCATCGTAGCACCGTTACGATTAGGGTTCCCAACTATAGAGCTGAATGTTTCCTCGTTTTAATAGCAGAAATTGCTTTCTTGGTTTTAGATTCCCCCCCCCCACTAACTAATAACCTTCTATGTTCTGGCGTTAAATCCCGATTATGTTCGGCTTTTTGATTGCAAAGCCGCACTTCGGTAACAAAGATTTAGCTCGGTAGGCCATCTCGCTACGAACCGGGCTACATAAATATATATTTCACCAAGGACAACATCTATAACCTGGTGGGAGCGCATGCACGCTCGGAAAACAGGCTGTCACTCCCAATTAGGTCCTGCGCCTGTCATGGGAGTAGACTATAAATATCCTACAGTTGATTTAACGTGGACATGCTCCTGTTCCCCCTTATTATCACCACCCTTTCCGTCTGCCTATCACTCGACAGGGCGTAGACCCGCGTACAATTTCCGTTTTATGTTGCTTGTGGAAATTTTTTATCCTCATTGTCATTGTTTTATTGAGAGAATATCTTTTTAAACGCTTATTGCACTTAGCTTAATTTAATATTGCCTATGGAGTTGATAAAAAATTTCTACTCGGTGCAGCCATAACAATAAATTACTAATTCTGATATAAATTTCAATTTTTACCTTTTTATTGATTATATTGATGACGAATATATACAGCGTCTTCAAAAAATGATCGAAAAATATAATAATATATTAATCTATCTATTAGATCCTGAAGAATTAAAACAACTACCAACCTCAGAATTCTGGTCTTATGGTACTACCTCTTCGATATAGGATTTTTTTTTTTTTGTAAACAAGAAACTGGTTGTCCAATAATTACTTTTAAATTACACTACTCAAAACTGAATTATCAAAAACTTAAAGCTATTGAAATTATTAAGTGGCCCAAGTTAATTCACAATCGAATAAAAAAAATTAAAGTTCTTAAGATGTGTAGTGTTTTTGTCTGTACTGTCTATAATTGTAATTTTACACATTCTGGAATTTATTGAGTTTTAATACTTTAAAAAAATCCTGAAAGACATTTAAATGTAAATAACAGAGCATGCGGTGGGTTTAGTGCACTTATAAAGGGGACGTGGCATCGCCGAACTCAATAAAACCTGTTGTTATGCTAGGCTGACATAAACTGCTCAAAAATGAATAGGGATATTGCCAATTTTGTAGTATTTTCTTTTCCTAGTATTTTTGTTTTATTTTTCTTATAAATTGCATTAATATTTAATAGAAATTATTGTTTTTTACTAAAGGAAAATTTAATTAAGAGATTTTGAAAATTAACAAAATAAAAGGTTTTAATTCCATAAGTTTCTTTATTGGGCACAATAATTTTTTTAAACATTTAATACTGGGTTTAATGTCCTCTGTCAGCGAAACCCTATGTGCACCAGTTAGGCATACAGTTAATAAAGTTGTCACAAATTTCATAAGGAATTTAATTCCATAGATTTTGCAATGTTGCACTCAGTTGTTGTAGGTCGACTGTCTGCGGATGGTCGGATCGAAAAGCCTTCTCTGCAACGCATCCTGCATGTGCCCCATGGATTGAGGTCTAGCGACAATGGAGGAGAAAATTTCCATGTTTTTTAAACATAGATGAACCGCTCGGCCTCTATGAGATCTGGCATTGTCATCCAGAAATCGCAATTCCCTGCCAATGAGATCCCTGATTTGAGGGATTGTATTTCTCGATAATTTCTTGGACATAACGGACTGCGATGAGGTCGCCTTCAACAATATGGAGTCTATATCGTCCTCCAGTGTAAATCTCAGCCCAGACCATTTCACCGCCTCCTCCGAACTGCAATGGTCCATCCAAATTGCTTTATAAATTGACTTGAATTAATGTCATATGTCTCAATTATTTACCATCAAAAGCATGCAGAATATTTAAAAAATTAATTTTCTATTAAAAGACGATGTTGTTTCTTCGTCAAGCGTTCGAGGATTGTATACCCTCCAACTGACCTATAAAACTTTAATTAATTATACAAGGTTAACTAATATGGACATGTAATTACATTTTGGCAGCCTAGGGCTTCATGTGCATGGAAATTAATAACTGAAATTGTACAGAACCAGATCAAACATGATTATGTACATGATTAACTTCTATCGTTTCATATTCCTGATGGATATATCTCTCAAAGGTTCCACGAAGGAATACAACGTTTTCTTTTTACCGTATTCGGGGTCGATCGTTGTTTAATATAAATTATAATCCATTATATTTCGTGGTCCGATAGAGAAAATAACTTCTTTCGATTAATTAGTCTTTATGTAAGGTATTAGTCGAAATGATAAAGCTAGTGTCACTTGCGCGATTCGAATCTACGACCTTCGGCTCAATACGCTGCTGCTCTAATCACTTGAGCTATCGTCAAGCTAGTGCGTATTGAGCCGTCGTGGGTTCGAATCCCGCTCGTGACACTAGCTTTTTCATTTCCACCAATTCCTTATATAAAGATTAATCAATTATAATATGGAAGGAGGATCAATAATTGGATCGAAGGTAATTCGGTCTACGGTCTAGATAGGATAGGATCTTAAAAAATAAATTAATTAAAAATATAAAAAAAAAACAATTCCTATCCATTATTTTCTTCCATAACAATTTAAGATCATTTTTATTTATTTATTTATTTTATTTAAAGGCTATGGCTCTTATATTTTGAAGTTAACATTAACAATACTAAAACATTTCTTACTTCAAATTTCTATCATAATTTTCATTTTTGTAAATCCGTTATTTATATAATTCTTTTCTTTTTTTCAGGTACGTTCTGATATTCAGCCAGAACCATAGACCGTATGTATTAGTGAATATCTTCTAAAGTGTATATATATACACAAAAAGTATATTGATTATGCACTTAATAGGCAAGTAGTAATAAAGTAATAAAAATAAAATTTGAATACACCTCTATTATATGCAAATAATTGAATCGATAATGAAAATCGCGAATTCATTTGCTTCATTAATTTTTATTCATGGAAAATATTTTTTTAAACTTTTAATATACAATCAAGAAAAAAGAAAAACTGTATTTTTATCGTTATATTGATGACAACATAATTATTTTAATGTTAACCAAATTAAACGAAATCAGAAAGTCATGAGTTTTAATTTAAAAAATTAATTAATGGTTTAAAAGAAAATACGCTCAATGCATTATTAAGAAAAAACCGGTAATAAATTATTACCTAGTTTATCATACTCTATCAGTAAATTATTTTATCGTGTTTTGTTGAATTTTCCTTCAAACACCATAATTAAATATTATTTGTTATAACTCTTGAACCTTTGATCTCGTTTAATTTGGTTTCTATTAAAATAAGTGTGTTGTAATTAATATAACAATAATTAATATAGTTAATATAATATAGTAAAAGTTAATATGTATAATATAAATAGTTAATATATCTAATATAATAAATAAGTATAGTTTGGAATAAACAACAAAATAAGAATATTTGGGGGCGTCGGTGGCCATAACGGTTTAGGCGTTGACACCGCGCTCTCACTAAGGTAAAGGTCCCGAGTTCGAATCCAGCGGCCCTGCATTCGAACCCGACACACTTAATGTTTCTTTTAAGGTTTATATCTCTTTGGAATGCAACCTGTTTAGGTAATTCAAAAAGGCTTTTAGTTCCAGCAAACTGACACATGGCCCTTTTTCAAAAACCTGCACCCCGGATAAACTCGCCTTTGAAATATCCAGTAATAAAAAAGGGTAATCGGTTTTTTGACTTTGTTTATACTGTAAACTTACGCAGTATTTATCAAAACAAAAAGGAAACAATATTTATTTATTTTATATATTAATCTAATAAATTTGTTTATTATAAGAATAATATAATGTTCTTAATACTCTTTTGTTCTGCAGTATTTGTATAATTTTGCATCTTTTGTGCTGACTAAACATACAAAAAATGAATATCATTATATTGTAATAAAGCTCTTTTTATTATCCTTCGTAATTTTTATTATGTATCATTTTTATTATCATTTGTTAGGCCTGTTTTTGCGGTTGTATTTATTTCTAATACTACACTTTCTTACATTTCAACTAGTTTTGTGCCATATTCATGCGAAATTTTTCTGGTCCCTTTTCCTCAACTTTGACAAATTAACAACAGAAATAACGTAAATCACATTTTGAAGGAGTCAAAAAACAACGCACTCCTTCAAAAATATCCTAACCAATAACAGAATAAAAGTTGTTTATGCAGTTTTAGCCTTTACCTGCACGATTATTGAAATTCATTACAAAGATTACTCATGGATTTAATGAATTAAGATTATATTAAAGAACATAAGATTAAATGTGTTTTGTGTAAAACTGTATAAAGTTTTTGTTCAAGCTACTAAATATCTTTTAAGAAATTCTCAGTGGTGTTGAAATAAGTTAAATATAAATGTAGTTTTAAATAAAAGCCATTATGGTGTCACCTATACGCAGTTATTAAACTTCGGTTGCTCTGCGGTTTACGTTAATAAAATAACTTATCTTGATTTATCGGGTTGTCCGGAAAATAATGCAGGATTTTAAGTTTTCATTAAAAAAAATCTATATAAAATATTCTGTTTACGTTTACAGGATTACTCATTTNAAATTATTTTGATTAAAGAACATTGCTTTAAAGTAACTAGTTTCTTTTTTTTTGTTTAATACCAAAATCCTGCATTATTTTCCGGACAACCCAATACTTTAATATCATTCATTACGATTTTGCCAGCGCTGAGATTTTTCTTTGTAAATCCGACATCGTTACTCACAGAGTAACATTATAATGTAAAAAGAATGTTCTGAGAGGAGTCAAATTGAAATTGATCATCCCGGGTTTCCTTGCTCAGGGTATGTCGTCCCTCGACAGACGTGCCATGGCATTATTTCAAATCACGTGAAAGCCCTATACGGTTGAAGAGGGTGTGTTTGTCTGATATAGTCTGCGGTATTATTAAACCGGTGTTTATGCGCTTTAGATCCCTATGTCTTTTATTTTGTTTAGAGTACCTTTTACACCTATTTAGCGAGGGGGAGAATATACAGAAAAACATTCACTCTTTGTCGATTTTTTAAAAATGTTTTTCAAGGAAAACTTTAAATTACAAGGCTTGCTGGAACAATTGACTTTTTGGGGTCAACGCGCGACTTATCGCCTGGCTTCCAAAAAAAAGCTGATAAACCCCTTCGAGCTTCCGTTTCCGGCCCGGGAGAAGGCGATAACGTGCCTCTGGAGGCTAAAATTGGCATTTGAAATTTCGATATATCAACTGACTAAATGCGCGTTAGGTTTTCACGGAAGGCCTTTGGAACGAATCCCTTTAACCCACCCATCGAGGTTCCTTTTAATGGAATTTCTACTTGACGAGAATTTCTCCATCGCGAGGCGAAATCAAATACTATAAGTTTCACATGTTTGGCGATTGTCCGACCTGTGTCTGGGACAGGGGAAGTCCATTAGAGCCGAAGGCGGCCGGGTTTTGAAGATATCGCACGGTCTCTTGGGTCCATTAGCAAATATGGGCGTTCGTCGATATCGAAAATTCGGGAAACGTTCAGTCGCTACCAATGAACAAAATTTTTGCCGTTTCAACAGATTTTTTTTACAGTACTTGATGGCTAGTCACATTGTACGGCCTTCAATGAAATGAATTAAAAAACAATTCGATGATTTTTTGTTATTAATTGTGTGGAAGACCATCGGTATGTTCTCTCTGTTATATTTACAATAAATTACCGTCAGGCTTCGAGAATCAACCTCCCAGAGTGTAGATAGTTCAGGGTCAGATTTCGGTCTTGTACGTTCAGCTGCAGTGGTTGTGCTCCAAGGGCTACTTTAGACATCCACACCTTCTACGCTCTTTGCAGCCTTTGCCGACGACACGGCCGTCCTTTCGTCCAATCCCGATCCTGAAAAAGCTTCGGAGGAGCTCCAATCACACGTACAACAGATTGCAGAATGGAGCAAAATATGGAGAATAAAAATGAATGAAAACAAGTGCACCCATTTTACATTTACCCTCCGAAACAAAACTCCTCACACAATACACCTCAACAACATCCCTATTCCCAAAGCTGACTACGTACGATATCTTGGGCTCTAACTTGATTCACGACTAACGTAGAAACAACACATCCAAATAAAAAGAAAGGAACAGAATAGACGATTCGGACTACTGTATAAACTACTCGGACGCAAATCTAATTTGTCGACAAAAAACAAACTAACACTGTACAGAACACTACAGAAACCGATTTGGACATACGGACTAGAACTGTAAGGCACCGCTAAACCTACTAACATCAAACGAATTCAATCCTTACAATCCAAAGTTCTTAGAATTATAGTTAACGCTCCTTACTATGTCTCCAACGCCACCCACCACAATGACCTCAAAATACCCTTGGTAAATAAATTAATCCCGACCAAATACACCCAGTTCCACAATAAACTCTCCACTCACCCCAACCCACTAGTCCAATTCATGTCCAGCATAATCCATCCCTACAATCCTGTCCGCCGATTAAAGCGGAGATGGCCTCGGGACCTGCTTGGCGACTCCCCTCACGACTATACAGTGTATAATGTAAATATATAAATAATCTCAAATTACAAGAAGTATTAATACAGGTAGTAATGAAATAAATAAAAAAAGTTTTGACGATTAGTTACAAAACTAGTACCATTAAGCATCATCACTACACAGACCTCACCACTATTTTTCAAAATTCATATCCATTTTAAACAAATAAAGACATAATTTGGAAGTTTATACTGAAAATTAAATAATTCAAATCAGTAATTTAAATTTCCTTTTAAAGTACTAATAGTAGTAGTAAAGTGGTTTTAAACCAAATTTTAGCACAAAACTTGATATATTGAATCCGTGATTTAAGCTTCTAAATACGCAAGAACGTAGAAAAAGTATTAAGCAGAGGAATATAAAACAAAAACCAACAGAAATCGGGATAAGATGTACGAAAAAGAAAAGAACAATATTCATGCAAAAAAATACATTTTAATTTGATCCAATTATTATTACTACCTGATCGCAAATTATTACAGGTAAAAGAAACATATAAATTATAGCAAAAATATAAATATCTCAGAATTAGATGCAGCCGCCATTATATAACCTAACAAATAAATAAATAAATCCTTTGAAAGATTTTTGTGTGTAAACTACTACTTGTGTCTGCAAGTTCTGTGTACAAATCGCGCGACTTTTTTGTTTAGGTGGGTCGTTACAATTACGCCTACAGACCCGTTAAAGACATTGAAGGAATTAACGAAATAAAAGTCCCCATATTCGACACGGTGGTTGCTATCTAACGTTCGGCTGAACCTACAAATTGATCAAATCTTGTAAGCGTTTCCACCTGGGCGAAACCGAAGTGATAAATCTCATAAATATCTCCCTAATAGGTTTAGAGGTGGTTGATAGTGGGTTTGATTAAACTGCTACCAAAACTCGTAAATGTAAATTGAAAAAGGTGTCAACTGACACAAATCAAATGCTGGAAAAACAAAACAGCACCATATGATCTTTTTAAAGAAGAGTGAGGATTGTGAAGAAACACCCAACTACTCAGCCATTTATTTTCATATTTATTGACTGAATGGAAAGAAGATGAGTATAAGTTTATCATTACATAAGGATCGTTATGTAAATTGTGCGTGGACGACTAGCATAAAAATCATAATATTGTTTGGAAGTAATTGATCTCTGAGAAATGTCCTGGAGGCCAAAGAAATTACCGTAATTTCACCCAGGTGATGCACGATTTGCAAGCAAGCTTTCTTTGTAAAAACTAATACAAATTAAAACAATACCAATATGAGATTTATTGAACCCAACATTGAAACCGAGAAGGGGTACATAAAATATATATTCAACGCATCT